ATGAGCACAGGGCCTTGGCAACTTGAGTGTTTTCTGCCCTACATATCCACAGGGAAAGGAATGGTGCCAGTGAAATTGTGAATAGCTATAATTTTTAAGACTGCATTAGGAGACTAATCTAGACCCCACAGTGGTCCTCGTAAATGTGAGTATGGAAATTTCCTGTGGAGGCTGAAATTTTAGTGTGTGAATAGAAGCTCAGTTATGTTGCAGAAAAAAAAAATCCCTGAACCAATATTCTATTTTCCACCTTTTTAAGCCAAGTTTGGGGCTTTACATTTTTTTAAAATGTGCTTTAGCCCATTTGTCCTTATTTTAGGCTTAATTTTACTGTTTGGTTTCCAGAGATATGTCAAGAGGGACAGTATTGCTTCTTTTTAGTTCAAACTTTTATTATTATTATAGTATTCAGATTTTAGTTGACCAAAGATAATAGTTATGCTGTTTCTTTGCTCATTAAAAATAAGTCATTTCCATTTTATCTCCATCAGTTAGCAGGCATTTTGATCACAAATGAAATTGGATGATTAGTTTTAATCCCCAAGAATTCTGCTTTCAAAGTCAGTGAGGTTTAATTTTAACCAATATTCTTTCAGTTTGGGTCTCTGTAGGATAATTTCTTTTTTCTAGGGTAAGAAGTGTGGCAAGAGGTGGCTGGCCTTGGGAAATATACGCTTGGAATGCTGCAGTTCTTCCTGGGACGGAAATGGAGTAATAAAGGCAGAAATCACAGAATGGTTTCTAATTTCAAAGACAGACTGCCTGACCTTGCCTACATAGTTCAGATAGAAACCAAGAAGAAACACAGAGAAGGAAATTGAGTTCCCCTCCAGATGATGCACAGCCACACAACTTGCAGTCATCCATCTAGAGTTGGAATGTGTGCCAGTCACCTTAGGGCCCAGCAAGCTCTCACTACAAATAGATTGCCTTGTATTTTGATTCTTATGTGAAAATGTTCTGATTAGATCTCTACTCTTCTTACACATATATGTGTATGCACACACAGGCACTGGCACACGCACACACAAATCCTCCCCATCCCCATTCATTCTTGGTTTTTCTATCTTCCTGAATTCAAGCCTACAATTTTTTATAAGCTAAAAACATTAGTTCTAGTATGCATTTGGTTCTTTGGTAGCCTGTGATTTGAATAAATCTTCTCTTGAAGCCATTAAAGGGGCTTTCCAGCCTCCCAGGCTCCTCAGTGTTTCGGCCTCTCTGCCATGTTTTACCCTGGAGGAAGGAAGTTTACATGGGCTAATCAGTATTCCCACACTGTCACATTTGGCGCCAGTCACCTTCCAGCCCCTCCATTCCTTAGATGGCATTGTTCTTCTCAGTGTAGTATTTCTTGTGTCCTGCCTGGACCCTCCGTTGGTGAGTATAGGTGGCACTGCATCCACTTGGGTGACCTACTCATTTGGTCTTCCAGAATTTGCCATGGAAGTTTTGACGATTTTTCTTAAATTGAAAGTTGTGTAATGTTGAACACTAGTGGTTAAGCTGGGACTATTTGTGTCATGATGCACAGTGGCTTCACTTAGTAGCTAGAGAAAGGCACTGGGAGCAGGAGCATTGCCCTGGGTCCTTCTACTCCCAGTGTGGTCATATGGGATGGAGAGCTTTCTGGATTGACTTGTTTTCTTGTTCTGATAGGAAAATCATGCCTGGGTATTTGTGTTTGCCTGCTTACAGAGGGTATCTTTTGCTTTCTGTTTATCTGGCATTAGTTATACAGGGGAGGATTCCATTGTTAAATCTCCACACATACTAACACAACATTCCAATCGACTTCACCCCCTCTATCACATTCCTTATCACCCCCATGGCACCCCCAACAGATGTCCTTGTTTCCTTTTCATAGCTGCAAACAATCTATTTCAACACTATTCAGTCTCCTTTTATCCTTGTCACCAGCCCAGCTCCCTCCCACTAGCCCCAATCCCCCTACAGGGTTTGTAACACTTCACCATCCCCTCTATGATCAACAGCTTTGGTTGAGTTTCGCTATGTTGCTCTTATGTATATTTGCAATATATTAGAAAGTTATTCACACACTTTCTTTTTCTACTCTCTCTTTTCTTTCTCCTGAGTGGTCTCTTAGCTTGATTCATGTTCTGTGTTTAGCCATTTAAATAATTATGTATATGAATACATCCATTTATATACATGTCCATAAATATATATATGTATATATATATATATTTTAGGTAGGCCTAGCTTCTATGTATGAGTAAAATCATAAGACATTTAGGTTTTTGATCTTGTCTTTGTCTTACTTAGTATGATATCCTCCAGTTTAATCTATTTTATTGCAAATGATGTTTCATTTCTCTTTATGACTGTAATATTCCATATTATATATGTATGCATATATATGTATATGTATGTATATACATATACACATACTTCACATCTTAAGATTCAAATAACATTTATTATACAAGATAAAGTTTGCTTTACAAGTAATTTACAGATTGTAACTGACTCGGCGCCGATTGCTTACAATTTTTAAAAATACTTGTGTTATCTTTAAGTAGTGGTACTAAAGAGTTGCCTTTCAAGCTTATGCATACATCTTGATCAATGTCACCCCTTTCAATGTTCTCACCCATCCCTCTAACCCACTCTTTCCCTCACTTTTCTTTTTTTTTGGGGGGGGGGGTTCGGTCATGGGGCCTGAACTCTGGGCCTGGGCTCTGTCCCTCAGCTCTTCAGCTCAAGGCTAGCACTCTACCACTTGAGCCACAGCGCCACTTCCAGCTTTTTTCTTTTTGTTTATGCGGTGCTGAGGAATCTTACCCAGGGCCTCAAGCATGCAAGGCAAGCGCTCAACCACTGAACCACCTTCCCAGCCCTCCCTCACTTTTCTTAATTTTGTAAGATATGAATTGAATTTTTTACTAAATTCTTCAACCTTCTCTTAATTCATCTACTCCTCTCCTCTTGACTCCACCCTATCCCTTTCAAGTCCCAGTTTCCTGATGTTTATTTTGTGGAGCTATGATTTAGCCTTTCTAAGGAATTATACTCTCTGAGTTCTTCCCTGAATCTACCGTATTTCAGTTAATACATTTGTGTACACTTCCTTACCACACAAAGTATTCACTTATATATTTTTAAACTCATTCTATCTTCCACAGATGAGAGAAACATGTAACCTCTATCTCTCTGGGCCTGACTTACTTTACTTAACATAATTTTTTCCAGGTCCTTCCATGTCTTTGTGAATGATGCAATGTTCTTCTTTCTACTAGATGAGTAAAATTCCATTGTGCATATATACTACATCTTTTTGACCCATTCGTCTACTAAGGGGCATCTGGGATGATTTCATACCTTGGCAATGGTGAATTGTGCTGCATTGAACATGGTTATGTGGTGGCTTCATTCTATCCTAGTTTCTAATCATTTGGGTAAATGCCCAAGAGTGGAAATGCTGGATCATAGGGTAATTAATGTTTAGTTTTTTGAGGAACCTACATACTGCTTTCCAGTGTGGTTGAACACATTTACTTTTCTACCAACAGTGTATTAGTGTTCCCTTTTGCCCACATCCTTGCCAGCATCTGTTATTTGGGCATTTTAGTTATTCTATCATTTGGCCATTGTGAAAAGTGTAGCAATAAACATAGATATGCATTTGTTTTCTGGTATCTTGATTCATTCTCCATCACATATATGCCCAGTAGTTTTATGGTGGCATCATAAGGAAGATCTACTTTTAGGCTTTTGAGGAACCACCATACTGATTTCCCGAGAAGATGCACTAGTTTACTTTCCCGACAACTGTGTCTTCCATTGGCCTGGGTTGGTCAGGGTTGGCCTTGCCTCCTTAGTCCCTCCCTCTCTCAAGAGCAACTTTCCCTTCAGAGAAGGGAACAAGCTAACTTGTGTCTTCTTCCTGTGGCCCTGACTGCTCTTCCCCCATCATCCCTGTCTCCTTTTGGGAAAAGAGATGATGTGAAGGTAGCAAAAGGTAGCAAAAGCTGCCACCTGCTCATAGGCACTCATGACATTAGAATACCAGCAGGTACAATATTTTTCCTCTAAATAATAGAGCTTTTGAATAAAATGTGACAAGGGTTGTAATGGCCTCATTTTTAATGACTGAAAAGTAATCAGGTGAGCCTCAGAGTGACCCTCCTTCCTCCCTACATGAATTTCTATATCTGTTTTGCTGTTGACTCCAACAAACTATTTATTTGTCATTTTGCCATATGGCCATACCTCAGGGAGGTTGGTTAATGAAGCAGTGCAGAGAAAATGATTTACAGCAAGTGTCTTTCTTCAAATTAAAACACTCCTTCATCACTTCTTTTAAACCATAACATTAGGGGGCTTTGCCCAAAGAAGAGACAGTAGACAGTGCCCTGCTGTTGCTAGGTAACAGGAGATGGCCTTAAGCCTGGTCATGGTTGCTACTGGCAAGATTTTTTTCCCTAGGAACCTGGTTAGCTTTGCAAAGTCCTTTGTGTAGTGTTAACAGATTTACACCATGGAAAGGTTGAAGGGTTTCCTTTATTATTCAGTTTTCCACACCAGATATATTATGGAAGTCTAGAAGTAGCTCTTGATTTTGAGATACACTGAGCAGATGAAAGCATGGTTCATTACACATTGCTATACTGTATTTTCAGATGCAATTGGGTGCATGGGTGCATTCAGGGTAGTATGGCTGTAGATTATACTGTCTTTTCAAAGTTTGCATCCATTAAAAAATCAAAGGAGAGCATCCCTTTCTAAGTAGCAGAGTGATGTAAGATCTGGGAATGTGGACTATTATTACATCTCTTATTATTTTGAAAAGACAATTTTTATTTACAAGAAACTAAATGCTGATGAAATCATTACATGCCTGTTAGGTGCCTTGCACTCACCCAATTTCTTTGGGCTAAATACATCAGCATTGCATTTTCTGATCTCTGAGATATACTGTCATCTGTCTTGGGTCCCAAGCTGACTCTCCTGTAACCTGAACCATCTGTTTGTTGCAGATTTGAACACCTCGCAGAGTGAATCTCCAATCCCTCTGGACTCATATTCCCACAGTCCTCAGCCACAGACATTTCTAGCAGAAGCCAAGCTCAGTCTACAGAAGGTGGCCAGACAAGATGGAGAAACTGGAGATGTCATGGAAGAAAATATTGTTTACCTCTGATTATGTTGTCATCATTTTTCCAAACAAACAAAAACACTGGCACTTTGAGGAGAACTCCCCCTCCACTCCTATTGTGTGTGTGATTGTGCCCAAATTGCTTTAAGGATACTATTTAATGTTTCATGCAAATTCATTTTTAGCATGAATCTAATAATTAAATTATTGAAAACAGTTCTGTTTGTATAATCTTTAACTTATACTTCTGGATTTCAGGGGAGAAAATTAGAATAAGCTGAAGTATATTAAAGATTATTTTGCCTTTAGAGTAACAATTCCATACTGCATTTTGTACCTAGTTATGTGGATTTCAAGGTGCCTTTTAAGATTAAGATGAAGCACTTTGGATTAAAGAATGATATTCATAAAGTGTAAAGTTTTACTGTTTGAGCAGTTGCTTCCTGAAGGAGAGCTTGGTGACCAAAAAGCAGAGAGGATTGGCAGAAACACCTTTTCTCATTTAGTCTTTTTTTTTTTTTTGTCAGACCTGGGGCTTGAACTTGGGGCCTAGGTGCTGTCCCTGAGCTGCCTTTGCTCAAGGCTAGACTGTATTGCTTGAGCCACAGCTCTACTTCTGGCTTTTTTGATAGTTGTTGGAGATAAGGTTCTCACAGGCTTTCCTGCCTGGGCTGGCTTTGTACTGCCATCATCAGATTTCAGCCTTTTGAATAACTAGGATTACAAGTGTGAGCCACCAGCGACTAGCCTCTCAGTTAGCTTTTATGTGTTAGTCTCTCTTTGGAGAATCAAAGGTGGAGATGTCATAATCACCATTCAACCAATGTGTCCTGCCTGGGCATCTCTTCTGAGCTGGTAACCACCATGCCAAGGATACCATTGGAATGTGTCCAGCTGGGTGGATGTTGAGACACACTGTCTTGATAAGGCTTCAAGTCACAGTTCAATGGTAACTTTCAGCCCCACCCAGAGCCCTGAGCCCCAAGCAAATGGATTTTGATGTAAATAATAAAACTCCATGAGAGCCCTCACTCCTATCAGCGGGCCTGTCTGTAGCTGGCACCCAGAACACCGATAACCACAACCCATTGGAAGGAACCTTCCTTCGCAGTTCTTTAAGGACGACACAATTTGTTCTTGGTAAGACTTGATGTCTGGATGGACCTTTCTACAAATGAAAACTGGCACTTCCTCCCTTCACAGTAATATGGATCTCTGTGAAGAAAGAAACTGGGAAAAGTTCTCATCTTGTTCTTTAGAAATATTTGTATATGTTTTGGTCAGTTGTCAGTAAATACCTTTTGCCTGATTATTTTATGCTCTAATTTTAATACTAAGCATAGAATTTACATCTCACACATGTAAATTAATTAAGCAGAACCCACATTTCACACACATAAACCTTTTGTAGAAAGTGAAAATAAAGTAGGGCTGTCAAATTCATCTAGAGTTACAATAATTAACGGGTGAGAGTTGGGATGGGAAGGGAGAAAGGATTCATTCAGATCCCTGGTTTCTTCCCCTAATTAAAGGTATAAATTGTATATCTACATTATAGTTTTAGTTAGGAAGATCAAATTTTTTTTTTTTTGGTCGGTCATGGGGCTAGAACTCTGGGCTTGGGTACTATCCCTGCGCTCTTCAGCTTAAGGCGAGCACTCTACCACTTGACCCACAGCACCACTTCTGGTTTTCTAGTGATTAATTGGAGATAAGAGTCTCACGGACTTTTCTGCCCAGGCTGGCTTTGAACCGTGATCCTCAGATCTCAGCCTCCTCAGTAGCTAGGATTACAGGTATGAGCCACCAGCGCCCAGCCAGATCAAATGTTTTTAAGACATGTTTTCTGAGCTTTTTTTTTTCTAACTCTTGCTGCTTCTGTTCATTTTTGTCACACCTAATGGCTTTAATTTATTAAAATAGTCATCACTTTACCTCTAAGCTCTTCTCTTAAATTTGATGCTCCACCCATCCTTACATCACCTAGAAATAGAAATTGTTTATTTTTCTTGCTTCAATTCTAGAATCTTATATCCCTTAAGTAAAAAGCCTACATTCTTGCTTCAACAAATAGAAATATCTTCCTTTCTTGAAGAAATGATAGTGGAGATGGAAACAGTGAAAATGGGTAAAGATGTCCAAAATCCCATGGGGGTTCTTTAAAAGTATCTGTGCTAGTTGATTTTCAAGCCCTGCAAAGCAGAGTCTTGTGCTGTTCCCTTGGGGGAGGCCTGAGCATTCTTTGAAATACATATATTCATAGATTTCTCTCAGTAAGTTTTTAATATGAGTTTTCAACTACAAGACTAAATTTCTAAGCTTTCTTGATAAAAATCTCTAGTTATTCTGTGTGATGAGCGTAGGATAAATGCTATGATTTGAATATCCCTTCAGATGTTTTTATTGAAGTGTCACTGATACTAAGAGGGCCTTTGAGAAGTGATTAAGATCATTTGATTGGAACCTTAAAAATGGGTCTAGTGCACTAAAAGGGGTCCTGAGAGCATTCCCTTGGCCCTTCATCTTCTGAAGGACTCAATAAGAAGAAACTTTCTATAAGTCAGGAAGTTGGTCCTCATCAACTGCCTCTGTGCAGTTTATGCTATTTTAATGTAGTAGCAAGCCAACTAAAAAAGATTCTGTGACTCCCATGCAAATTCACTAATCTTATTAAAGATACCCTATTTCTCAAGGTCATAAATAAATACCTTCCTCCCACTCAAAGGATCTACTTTCCCCATCAGGATCAGCTTAAAGAAAAAGGTCATCTCTTCCTTTAGGACAGAATTCCAGAATGAAAAAGGTATTGCTTTGTCCCTTTCAGGCTGCATGAATTTATAGGTCATCACATTTGAGTCTAAGTTACTCTGCATTTCATCAAAATGTGTACTTGCTGGAGTTGGGCAACACCTTGTAGCACCCTCACAAGGGCAGCCCTGTTCATTCATGAAATTGCAAACGCGCTTGTTTCCAAGGAGCGTTGCATGTGTGCCCATGAACATGTTAGATAACATAAGAAACTCACATAACTAAATTAACTAAATCATGGGATGGTAGATAAAGAGATAAAAAGGAATGTGTGTTTCTTCCTGTGACTAGGACCATTTTAAGCTGTGAAAACCCAATCAGGTACGAGCATTGAACCTTTTCTCGGCTTTCCCATGGAGAGCAGCAGAACACAGAAGTCCAGAGAATGGATTCTGGAGCCAGATGTGCCACTTGCTGGCTATGTGTCCTGGGAATATTCCTATGCTTCTCTGTTTCCTCATCTATAACATCAGAGATAATTACTGGATGGGACTGCTGTGAAGTTTAAATAATTTTTATATGTGATATATTTATAACTGAGCCCAGGGCATAATAATAACAATATATGCTAGCTATTATCCTAGTAAAATAAACCTATTAAGAGTTGCTCAGCCTCATCCCAGACTTTAGGCAGATGTCTAGTCATGAGCTTGCAGTAGGTTTCGATAAGGTCAGCCTTGAAACCATTTGTGCCTCTGAACCTTCTCTTAACTCATGAATACAGTAAACATTCATTGAATATCTGCTAAAGGCCAAGCAATCAGCTAAAGGAATGTTCAAAGGTGAACATGCCTGCAAACTGTTGGAAAAGAGTAACACACAAGTAGATAAATTATCTTAGCCTAGGCATAATAATCATAGAGAGAGAGTTCATAGGAAGAGCCCATTAGGGGCCAGTAGCATGTGGAATGATGGGGGCATTCTAAATAAGGAGATGTCTAAGCTTTGAAAGATAAGTAGTAGAGAGTTCCAGGCCAAGAGAGAAACCCAAGCAACAGTCTGCATATAACATGACAAGAAAGGACTGTAGCATATAAGTGGAGGTACCCATTGAATACCCCCTAGACTGGTTATTCAATGAGTTCAACTATCTCCATCTCTTTCAAGCACCTATCACCACCACCTCCCCATCTCCTTGACAACTGATAAGATGCTGAATAAAGCCAACTATGAAATGTGGGGGAATATTTGCTTCCATACGGATGGCTCAAGTGTGACCCAGTGCCACTCAGTTCCTAGCCTCTCTGCACTCACCTCTACCACAAGGCCATGTGGGCTCTAGTCACGTGTTGGCATTGCTGCTACAAGAAACCAAAAGTAAAGGGGTAAGTGGAAGACACTTTCTAGGGTGGATTTCTGGAAGAATCCTTCAGGGGGGCTGTGGTAGGATGAACTCGAGACCCATACACACAAGATGGCAAGTAGAAAAATGACAGAGGAGAGGATAGAGAAGAGGCCAGAATAATCTTAAGATTGACATGAGGGTTTACAGTGATCTTTCCTGGCTGCTACCTCTTTTACATAGATATCCCATTAGCAGAGTAAGAGAGAGACAGTAAAGACATAGGGGAAAATCAGACTGACTCAAGTTCTTCCTGAATCTCCCCCAAATGGAGGTTGCACACTGGGTTGCACAACCTCACGAGGCTTCATTGATAGTGTATGGAATCACTCTCAGCACATCTACCCTCTGACTACAATGAAAGAGGAAAATCCAGTGGTCAACAATTGTGCAACGTTGCTTCTGTGGCCAATTGCTTAATCTATGAGATGAAGATGATAATCAGAATCATACCTTGCAGCTATGATGAGAACTATTGGAATCAAGTCCAGGTCAGTAAAGGTACACAATAAACACAGTAAAAACAACAGATGCTAGTGATAGAGGTAAGGAAAAGGCAGGCTTGGGTATGCTCAAGAACTAAAATAGCAGCCAGGTGCTGATGGCTCATTCTTATAATCCTGAATACTCAGCAGGATGACAGTAGAGGATTGCAGGTTTGAAGCTAGCCTAAGCATAAAAGTTCATGAGACTCCATCTCCCAAACAACAGGAGACATGAGCTGGCGACATGGCTCAAGTGATAAAGCACTTGCTGAACAAGCAAGCCAAGTAAGGTGAGGCCCTGAATTTCAACCCCTGTACTGTCAAAAACAGAACAAAACAAAAAAGCAATTCCACTCCTGGGCATTTATCCAGTAGAATATAAACAAGGCCACAATAAAACTACCAGCACAACCATGTTCATTGCAGCATTATTTACCAAAGCCAAGGTATAGAATCAGCCATCAGCCCAGATGCCCCTCAGTGGATGAATGGATCAAAAAATGTGGTATATATACACATACATCAGAAAGAATATTTTACTATTCATAAGGAAATGGAAAGACATGGAAAAATTATACTAA